CAAATATACTGAAGAATCCTATTCCACTCGAATTGTATTGACCTTTACATATCTAATACACGTTTAATTCAAATTTATATTAATATAATATATTAATATAATAAAATATTTAATGACATAATTCCACTTTCCACAGTTGTTTCAAATAATTAAAAAATCCTACCACTCTAATTGTGTTGACCATTACGTATTTAATACACGTTTAATTTAAATTAAATAATTATTATGTGCTATCCATAATTTAAGTTGGATACGTATCCGTAATTCGTTCCACTCTCCATAGCTGCTTCAAATATACTGAAGAATCCTATTCCACTCGAATTGTATTGACCTTTACACGTCTAATATACATTTAATTCAAATTATATTTAATGATATAACTCTACTTTCCATAGTTGTTTCAAATAATTAAAAAATCTTACCACTCTAATTGTGTTGACCATTATGTATTTAATAATTAAAATTAATTTTTTTTTAATTATTTAAGTTTAATTTAAATTAAATAATTATTATATGCTATCCATAATTTAAATTGGATACGTATTCGTTCCACTCTCCATAGCTGCTTCAAATATACTGAAGAATCTTATTCCACTCGAATTGTATTGACCTTTACACGTCTAATACACATTTAATTCAAATTATATTTAATGATATAACTCCACTTTCTATAGTTGCTTTAAATAATTAAAAAATCTTACCACTTTAATTGTGTTGACCATTATGTATTTAATACATAATTAATACAATTTAAATTAATTTTTTTTTAATTATTTAAGTTTAATTTAAATTAAATAATTATTATATGCTATCCATAATTTAAATTGGATACGTATTCGTTCCACTCTCCATAGCTGCTTCAAATATACTGAAGAATCCTATTCCACTCGAATTGTATTGACCTTTACATGTCTAATACACATTTAATTCAAATTATATTTAATGATATAACTCCACTTTTCATAGTTGCTTTAAATAATTAAAAAATCCTACCACTCTAATTGTGTTGACCATTATGTATTTAATACATAATTTAAATTAATTTTTTTTTAAGTTTAATTTAAATTAAATAATTATTATGTGCTATCCATAATTTAAATTGGATACGTATTCGTTCCACTCTCCATAGCTGCTTCAAATATACTGAAGAATCCTATTCCACTCGAATTGTATTGACCTTTACATATCTAATACACGTCTAATTCATGTCATTAAATTATATTTAATGACATAATTCCATTTTCCACAGTTGTTTTAAATAATTAAAAAATCCACTCTAATTGTGTTGACCATTATGTATTTAATACACGTTTAATTTAAATTAGATAATAATTATGTGCTATCTATAATTTAAGTTGGATACGTATCCGTAATTCGTTCCACTCTCCATAACTGCTTCAAATATACTGAAGAATCCTATCACTCGAACTGTACTGACTTTTCCCAAATGTTACCTGTACATACTTTGATTTCTATTCCAAAAATCAAAATTCAAAATTTCATTTCACTTGGATCATCGTTCGAACTCGATCCTAACGTTGCATAAAATTTTTTTTGATTAATCCAATATACGAACCTAGATTCCTGTTCGTTTGAATCGCTTTCGACCATTTTGGCGTTCAATTCTCTCATTTCGTCAGTAGTCCTCGTGATCATGGACGAAACGAAACTCCAATGAAGGAAATTTACTGTTCAAGATGTAAAATATGAAAGACAAATTTAAAAAGTATAATTACCCTTACCTATAATTCTGGTCGAAGTCTCGTCAAGTAGAGGAATTAAATTTTTGAAATAACCGGGAGAAGTTATTTTTACTAATGTATCGTTTGAAATATCGATACCCGATTCTTTAAAAATATTAATTATTTTATCCGTCCAATTCACCTGTAACAAGTTTTTCTATTATTTAAAGATTGATAAAAATTTTTCAAAAAAAAGTTAAAAATAAATTATTCACCTTAGAGTTTTCTGTACGTGAGTTTAAATGATCGTACCATCTTTGAAAATCTCCCACAGTCATATTTACATAATCGTCTACTAAACTAGTTATCTAGAGAAAATGATAATTTTATACAGATATAAAATTTGTGGAATATCTCGTTTGTAAAGAAAATTTGTAAAAAAAAACCTTTAATAGCTTCCATTCGAAACTAAAAATATCCTCAATGTCTTCTTCCAACTGAGACTTCGTTATATTAAATCCTGCAGCCTCGGATATTCTCGAAACTATTTTTGAAATCCAGTCCCAATATTTTTCCGCCTTTCTAAAATCTTGTTTGTTAATCGTCTCATTCTCGGCGTCGAAATATTCTCGCAGCATCCACGAGTACAACGGCGTATCAGGTACGTCCAACTGAATTTTGAAGTGAATTTTAAATAATTCTAAGAAAATTGTTCGAAAATCGATTACTTACCACTACGCTCTTCTCTTTAGAACCTCTATCGTATACCGTGACCCGGATATCGTGTAATAAATTCAATCCCCTTAAATGAGCGTAATAATCGTCTATATTCTGCCATTTCTGTCCACTCTCGTTCCACTCGTTTCGTTCCATTATCATCGGCCATCCACCAATTTTATCGAACATCGACACTAATGGCTCCATACCTCGTTTGTTTGCATCCTCTAACAGCCATCGAAAACTTATTTTCGAACTGATCGAAATTTAAGAAATACTCGGATATATATTCGTATGTTGAATCGGAAAATTAAAAAGAAAAAACATTTTTTTCCCAAAATATTTATCGTTTCGATATTCCTTTTAATCTCGAATTAATTTTACTTAATGCTCAACAATTATTTCGTTTAATGAATTTGATCACTACCTGTATTCATGCATGTTTTGTACCACTGCTTCGCTACTTTTACGGAAGGAATTTCATCGCCTCGCAATTCCAACTTCAATATCTCTGGAAAATCGTTTTTCTTCGTTTTACTTCGGAAACGGAAGTTGGCCGAATTAAAAACTTACCCTCGACTCTTCGTTTGTTCTCTTCATCAGAGGCGGCTCGCATTTGCCAGGAATTCTCATCAGGCGGAAGTATATGCGTTCTCGGCCAATTACCGCATGCATATTCATAAAAGTCCACGCACGGATCCACGGAGGCGTTCATGTTCGTTATTATCCTCCTACCTGTTTAATATCGTAAAAATATCGAAAAAGTATTTTCTTAAAACTTTTCCATTCTCGCCGAGTTTTCAAAATTGAAAACTTTACCAAAGTCTTTGCATTCCCTCGTTGAACAGCTTAGTAAGTCGTTCCTAATATCGATCACTCTGGCATCGATGAAAATTATTAAAGAAAATCTGTGCAATAAACGAAATAATAATTTTCAAAACCTTATAGGCGTCATGTATCATTAAATTATTGCAAATGGAACGATCGAATCCTTGATAAAATTATCGATGTTTGTTATTTTATTGAGACTAATATTGATTAAAGCTTGATTCAATTAATCAAATATATTCTATCTGTTAAAATTGCAATTGATTAAAATTAAATTAATTACAAAGATTGAAATTGGAATCACAATTAAAATTGCGATTGTTATTAATTATACCTCCATAAACATTTTTAACATTTATATTCCCCAATTTAAATTTTAACATCAATAGATGGATATAGATCGTTTTCAATTTTTATCTATTTCGAAATGAAGAGAAACGACTTAACTCGAATTTCCTTGCATTATTTCATTTTATTTTATTTTTTTATAATAAAATGATAAAATACCATTCGATATTGCGTTCAAGCTAGCTTCAAGCTTTTAAATTGACGTTCAACAAAATATTATTTAACACGATGATATTTAATTATTACGAATTACGTAAAGTCGATCATTTCGTATGCAACAATTTTAATATCGAGATAAAAAGGAAAGAGAATTGAAATAACCACGTACAACCAAATCTTGTGCAACATCGTACTGTCGAAACTGTACCGCTTCGTGTTCGAAACAAAACTGATTATCGAGCACGAATTTCTGAGCGAAACAAATATACTTTGGAGAATAAGCGAATAACCGATAATAATTTTGTAACACGGAGGCGGTACGCGATATCGTTGTTAATAGCTCATTCGAATGATGTTCACACGGGTATTTATATCAGTTTGCACGAGGCATTTATCATACGCGAATAGTATTAATATAGAATAAATTAATCTCGATGCTATTTCTATCCATCGCATTTACATTATCAAATCATAAACGCGAATCGATTTTACTTTCCATCTATAAATATCCCATTCAAAGAGATTCGAATAAGTATTTTATTTAATTTCCCGTGTCAAGCCTTTTAAAACGATTCTCAATATCGCCAATTGTTGATTAGGGAATAATCGGTATTTCGCTATTTCCTGACCATTGACTCGAACATTTCTGCTCAGATATCGAGTAATGTTTCATTAGGCAGTTTGGTGGACGATGATGTTGCATCGTTGTGCAAAATAATAAAGACATATTGTCCAATTACGTGGCTACACTCGTGTATAATATACGTATATATTATACCAACGATGTCGCTCTAATAATTAACGTCGATGTTCGACGTAGAATTTAATAACGTAGCAATTTTGTCAAAGAATTTTCGTTATTAAATTTCGACAAAAATTCTCGCGTTCGCGAGAAGCAAGAAACCGATAACCGAAAAGAAGCGAAAAATATTTGTATTCCACTTTTCTTTGAAGAAAGAAAATAAATTGATAAACAGTTTAAAAGAAGGGGGGGAAAAAAAAATAAAATAAAAGAAAGAGGGCGGATAAAATGATGGAAGGCAAAGCACAGAATATCAAGTTGACGTCAACCGAGCGATTCGGCCAACCGTTTTGAAACTGTTGCATTTATTTACATCAGTGATTGCAAAGAAATAAATATTATACATACGAAGCATCGTTGTAAACGTTCCAGCTTTCCTTGCCTCTCGTATTTTTCCTCCTTTTTTAATTTGCTATCTTCCTTTTCTTTTCTTTTTTCTTTTTTTTTTTTTTTTGATACTCGTACGTGCTATTCGCTTTTTTTTTTCTTACTTTACTTTCGAACACCGTATATAATCTTCTCTCTCGTTTAATTTTAAAAATCGCATCATCGAAAAAAAAAAGGGCGCGATCAGAAGCTGATAATCGAATCGTTGGATAACTCTGCACTCTGATTGCGATTTATTAATTTAATACACGTTTCTTTCCTCTTCCTTCCCTTTTCTTTCGTTTCGATCTCTGTCGCTTTGTCTCTGTCTCGCGTCAAACATTAATCCTCGAAACTCGCTAGCGTGGATAGAATATTTCGTACATGGTAAGGCGTTATCGAACGATCTTTACGCGACGCGTGTGAAAGAAGAAAATTAAAATTTCAAAGTCGAAACGAGAAAGCTTGGAAGCTTTCTTTGTAACCAAAGAATATTCGATAATTGGAAAAGTTTCAAAGAAGGGAAGAGGAATTCGACGGATGAAAAAGTTGAACAAAGAAAGAGAAAAGTGAAACAAAGCGGTTCGTATGATCTCTTAACGTTAATGCACGATAATGAAATCGTGAAAAGAGATCGTCGAGGACGATCGTTCTCAGAAATTGTGAAATCGTGAGCAAATCGTGACACGGAAGCGCAAAGATCTCGTTCACCTTCTACGTTCGAGAACAACGATGCGAACTAGCTGGCGCAAACCAGCCTCGTTTTATTACCGATCTCGCATTCGGTAGTTCGGAGGGGGGATACCTTTTTTTTTCCTATAGAAATCCCATTTGTATTTACAATAGAAACGACGTTAACGCGTCGCCGTCACACGCGAGAATTCGATGGAAACATCGGTGGAAACTACGATACCTTTTTATTCACTTTTTTTTTGTTTCTTTTTCTTTTTCTTTTCTTTTCACGAAGAGAAATCGACGATCTATTATTTATTCTTTTGGCCGCCGATGATATCTAACACTCTATCTTTATTTAAATCGTTTAAGTGAGAATCGCGGAGCGATTTCGTGAGCAGCAACGAAATAAACGAGCGTCTATACAATCTGCACGCGGCATTCGTACTGCGCGTATTGCGTAACACCAACCGGTTTCGACCAATCGCTACGAGCAATCGGGGAAAAAATTGTTCGATCTCTAATTACCTCTCGATCCGTGCCTCGACAAACGCACGACGTTCAAATCGAATCGAGCAAATCTATCGCCTAATTAAAAATCACGAACGATCTTCTCCAATGAATTTTATAAAATACAATATAAATTGAACAAAGGATCGTTCTCGTATCTCGCGAGTACGGATCTCCGCTCCTTGCAAAGACAATTGAAATCTTATAATGTAATCTAAATCTATCGAAACTATCACGAAGGTGTCGACTGGATCATTCTCGAGATTTCGAATCGATCACTGTCTCTTTCTCCCCCTTTTTCCCCCCTTTTGATCGTAACACGTTCGAGACCGTGGCGCTCGTCGTCTCTTCTCTCCTCATGATTTTCGTCAACCAAAAACCCTTAATGGATAAAAGAGCGTTCTTTTTTTTTTTTTTTCTTTTAATAGACGTATCGGAAAAATGCGGAGCTATTTCGAACAGAGAATTTCTCGTCGCGTTATTATAAGATGCAGCGTTATCCCGGATACCGTCGCTTCGCACGAAACAATCGCACGTTGTCGGATCACCATCGTCCGTCCGTCCGTCCATCTTTTTCGAAAAATCGCGCGAAACTTTCCGGTCGAACGGCGAAAGTTATCCGGATCCGCTCGTTAAACTTGTCATTTCCAGCGGAAAGTTTTCGAAGGGGGAGGGAAACTATCTATGGGCTCTCTAAGGGTTTCGCCTAAGTATCCGCGATATCCGAACGCTATTTAAAAAGGAGAGAGGAAGGAGTTAGAATATTGAACTGTCTTATGTACACGCGA